ATTTTCAAGGTAGTAGACCAGGAAGGCACCTGATCCTCAATAATAAAATTGTTTTTGGGGCCTCTATTGTGAAAAGTTTTTTTCCACTGGAAAAATGCACATGGAATCTTCCTTTACTTAGCTCCTGAGGCCAATGAACACCAACCACCCCCTGCAAACACAGCTTGTTTTCAACAGGAATGCTCTTGGTTTGTTGTTTCATTACTGAGCTTCATTAGCTGAAAAAGCAAAGGAGCTGAGATCTGACAACAATGAACACTTAGTGAAAATAGCTTGACTGAAAACCTCTGAGCTCCAAAGTGCAGCAGCTTAGCTCAGAAGAGACTGAGTGCAGCGTAGCTCCTAGCTCAGTCTTGCACCTCAGAAGATGGCTCAGCTAGCTCAGCCAAGTGCGCCTGAACCTCAGCTTCACTCAGGTCAGGCAAGCTCAAGGCCAACAATTAATAACATGGATCCACCTAAGGGTAAGTAACCAATTGAGGAGGAACAGAAAAGAAACAAAAAACAAATCAAATTCAAACTGAGGAACCTCAGCATCAATGTTCCACTCAGACGTTGCTTGAGGAGCGACAGTGGTCAGCTGAAGTGAGGCTGAGACTTGAAGCCTCTCAGCCTTCAGCAAAGAAACTTAACCCACCAACCAAACCCATCACCCAAGCCACAACCAACAAAAAAGGCCAAAGCCTTCAGCTAATGAATCTGAGCAGCTTTGACCCTGAGCCCTTGTGCCCTGGTCTGAACAGCTTCCCAGTGGATGGCAGCTGAGGAGAAAGGATGGGCCTGAGCAACCAGCTGAGCCACAGTTGGCTGAGGTTTGTTGGCCCACAAGATGTCCAGCTCAGGGCGCAAGCAATTGCTGAGGATCCTCTCCTCATCACTGAGCAGCTCTGCTGAGGCTGTTTGGCCATAGATGGCCTGAGAGCTGGCTAGCTAATGGCATTTGCAAAGAATCAATAATATAGAGGCTCTTGCAAGAGAAGACAAAAGAAAAGTATTATTAATCAATATATATATATATATATCTTATGACTAATTAGACTGGGTTGCCCTGAGGAACCTGTCATACTGAACACCCTCTTGTGTCTTGAGGATTGCAACATGCAGCAGCAGGCCCCACTCAGCCATTTGCTCCTGAGCTAGGCGCACTAATTAATAGCTCTGGGCAAATGAACCACTCAGCAAAACAAAGACAGCAAAATGACACTAAGATGAGAACAAGGTTCAGTCAACTGCCACTGAGAGACTGGGCCTGAGATCAATGACCACCTCTTCTGGCAGAGAAACTCAGTAAAGAGAGCAGAGCCTCCCTGAGCTGGGTCAAACTCAGTGAAGTGTTGGCTCAGGTGCCTGAGAACATCCCAGCTGTTCCCTCCTTGGGCATCTAGCCTGAGTTCCACTGAGCTGAGCTTGTTGCTCAGAAAAAGGAGGTGCTGAGAAATGTCCTCTAAGGCCTGAAGATCACGCTCCTTCTGGTCCTCAGAGGATTTCCAAAGTTCCTCACTGACATCCATGGAGCAAAAGAACTATCAAAGAACAAACCAGGAGCAAACAAAGGAGCACAAAAGTGTTCACCCAAGTCTGTACCAGGATCATTCCTGAGCTGCTCCAAGTGCCATGCCAGCTGAGAAACAGGGCCTGAGCTCAGGCACATCAAAGCCTTCACCATGAAGGCTGAGAGCAACAGGGCTGAGAACCAACCCTGAGCTGAGCTGAACTGATGGCAAAACATGGATGCGCAGCAAAAAACAAATCAATTTAAAAACTACAAACTATAAACATAATGAAGCACTGCCCAAGGTCCAAAGCTTCAAGGCTCAGGAGCTCTTTCACCTGAGCAACCCTAGCAGCCAAATCCACTGAGGTCCCACCTCAGCTGCAAGGGTGTCCAAGTGAGTGAAATATATAAACCATATTGCAAGTACAAAAAATGTGAAACACATGCATGAATTAAATACAATAGAAAGAACTCCATTAACCAAGTGCAAGTGACTGGCCAAGCTGATGCTTGAGCAACAGCACAAGCTGAGCGCAATGAAGGCCTTGAGCTGTGGTCCCATGGCTGCTGAGTCCTCAGTGTACCAAGCTGAGTTTGATGCGCTGAAGTTCAAAAAACCATCAGCCAAAACAACAAGCATAATTACTCAACCAAGCTCGAAGCAAAACAGAAATTTTTTGAACTAAGACCAAGTGCAGGCCAGCTGAGCAAAGAATGCTGGGCTCTCTGAGAATGCTGAGAATGCTGCTGGCACCACCAAAGCATGCTGAGTGATTGTACACGCGACCCTGAGACCCTGGAACTGAGACCCTGGAACTTTGGTGATTGACTGAGAACCTGAGACCATGCACTCCCACTTGGATGACCGGCGGTTGTTGCAAATGGATGGCTGTGTTGCTCCACTTGGTAAGCGGGTTGCATGTCTGCTAAGCATGACTTACAATTGCGCTAACACTATGTTAGCAGAGTTGCAAGTGAGCCAAAACCAACAACATACATGCAGCAGTTGCTAGCCACTTGCTAGTGGCAGCTATGTACATAGATGTGTGCTATGTCTGGTGCAATACTTAGCCCCAAAGTTAAGTCGTACATAGCCATGTTGGCTATGTGTTTCTATGTCTAATAGAGAGACTTAGGTGCACACCCTAAGTATATATACACTGTTTGCTAAGTTCATCTAAGTATACTTAGCCCTTTGGCTAAGTCTACTTAACCTTCTTGGTAAGTCTGCCAAATCCATGTGGCAGCGCGTGGAAATTTGTGTTTTGTGGGCGGAGTTTTCTTTTTTTTCGGCGCGCTGCGCGTTCGTGTGGGCGTTGTGCCAACACTACCAAACTTGATGTTTCAAGGCACATTTTAGGAATCAGCGTGCGGCGATTCGTTTTTTACCTGTTTGTTCGCCTCGTGAATATCGTTTTTGGTAGGCCACCACTCCGTTGGCCCATGTGGAACTTACTGAACGTGGGTGACTCTTGCTAGCATGTAGGGATGCAACCGCTGGACAGAAAAAATATCATAGACCCCAACCCACGGTCCATTAGAGAAACGTGGCCTGTCAAACTTTCAATCTTTAAGAGCCGCAAGTGTGTGAACGTTTGCAACTACAGGCTGTTGTTCTTTCTAGGAGCCTTTTGCCCACGATGTGGAACATATGGTTTGGAAGGCATACTTAGGCCAACATCAAAACACAGTTGTAAAGTGGCGTTTCACAACTCACAAAACAAGAGGAAACCAAAACTTCTATTGCCTATATCCAGAAGTGTTGTTTCCAATCCTATTTAAATGGAAACGCAAAACCACACAGCGCAATCAACGTTGCGGAGCTTCCGCGCTCGACACTCCGGGCGGCGGCTGCCTGCAGAAGCAGGCGCACAGATCCGAACCGCGAGTGCCGCTGCGATGGGGTTGGAAGAGTGTGTTTTCACGAAGCAACTTCATTGTTTGCAAGAATTTTGTGGCGTTTCGCACATGCCTTCAGGTTTGGATGCGGGCGTGTGGTGTGTGTTCTCAGGTAGATTTGTGTGAAGGGCGGGCGGCAACAATGTGTTTTTTTGTGGTTGTAGATTTAGGTTGTGGGGAGAGCTGTTTATTTGGCAGAGGTTGCACCTCAATTAAAGAAAGGGACCCTCGAAACACCGGTCCTTTAAAAGGAACCCTGTAGGGGGGGGGGGGGAACAAGCTTACTTTCATGTTCAAAGCAAAGGCAGGGCATGGAATGCTCGCCCAGCAGGCCGACTGCGCTCGCTGCGTTGGCTCAGTTTGAGTTTTGAATCAGTGGTTCCAATCATGGACGCAGCAGTGAAGAATGAGGTGGCCCAAGCCATCAAGGCCGCTGAAGAGGGCGGCTTGGTGAAGGGCGTGAGTCAGATCATGACCGTCTTGCAGAAGCACAATTTGGTGCGAGAACAGATCCTGGAACCTGGTGTGGTAGGAACACATCCCGAGAACCGGGACGGCTTTGGCATCTCGGCACTGGACACACACAGTTTGCTCCAATCAATCAGTGAGATTGGGTTTGACGAGCGCCAGTGCAATGCAATCTGCGTTGAAGTATCTTCGTCAACCTTGGACAAGGCCTATTCTTTCAATGCAGAGCTCGTCCGCCAAAGTATGGGACTCCTGCCACCAATTCCCAGGGGAACTCTTCGATACCTTTCATTGTCTTGCAGCCACACCAACGCTGCGCTCAGATGCTTGATTGCAGGCAGCCCCAGCAAAAGCGAGACTTTGTCTTTGGATGGTCGCCTACACCTTGGTAGAGCTTCTTCCCTGGACCCAATGCTTGGGAAAGCGTGCAGGGAGGGAATCAAGTGGAAGGTCGTCAACTCTGAGGTGGACCTCGAGTTCCCAAGCTTTTCTGCGTTGGTGCAGGCCAGTATGAACACGTCAGTCAGCAGAGGAGAACACGAGGCCCAGATGCTCCTTCGGATCTTCAAAGCACAAGAGAGCGCAAAAGATCTCGGTAAACCTTTCACCTGGGATGAACTACGTGCCCGTCTTTTGAAAAGCAAGCCTGCTTGCGCTGCATGCATGCCTGGGATGTTCAAATTCTTGAAGAAATTTGGAGGCGGCATGTTGGCGCGCACAGAAGCTTTCATCAAGTCCAGTGCTGGCTCAAGTCGACAGCTTGGCCCTGATTTCTTTGAACACTTGAGCCTGGATCCAAAACCACAAACACAGAATCCTTGTGTCATGTTCCGTCACGCCCTACTTGTGGCTGGGTACACTTGTCCCATTGACAAGTTTCTGAACGCGAGTGACGTGAAGAAGTTGTTTGCCAAGGATTTCATGCCAGACATCATTGCTGCCAATGCCATGATGGGTGAAATTGACAGTCTCATCAAGGCAACATTCCCCACGGAGCACCCGCACAAGTCCGAGATTGACCAGTTGCAAGTGGCCTTTGAAAGGAACTTGGTGATGGTCGCCCTGCAGAAGAAGCACAAAG